TCATCTTAGCAAAATAAACATTTGTACTACTACGTCTGTACTATATATGCAAGAAATGCTCATACTGCAATTTGTTACTGATGTTTAGGTTGAAATGTTCACCCGCCAAATTAACCGCCGCCACCAGCTGAGGCACATCCATGAGTTATGACAAAAGCATTCATGTAACCCATGGAAGAATAGTGAAATAATAAGTGTTCGCAAGTACTCCCTCCGTCCCATTGAGTTTGTCGCTCGGGAACCGGGATTGTGAGGGGGGCACGGTTTTCCAACGACAAACTCAATGGGACGGAGGGAGTATTTACTTGTTGAGAGTTGATAAGTGTTCAATTTTTTGGGCACCGAAAGCAAAAGGAATTTTGGGCACATCTTAAGCCGCTCTATTGATTAGATCTAAATAGCATTTAGACTGCACGATGTGTTGAATTCCTCCACGTGGATGGATTCAATTATGTCCTTTGTTATCCTTTTCTTGTCAAAGAAATATGAGACACAGACCCATATCGTCGCACCAAAACAGTCTTTCACCCTTGGATCCTTGTAGATGTATTGAACCAGGAAAGTCTTCCCCACCCCGCCAGTGCCAATTGGGATGACAGAAACATTGATTTTGCAGTTAGTCTCAGCAGCATGTCTAGCACTGCCGCTTTTAACTATGCTTGGCTCTGGATGTAGATGCGACACAATTACCTACTGCTGCTCTCTTCCCATTAGACCCTGCAAATGCATTTGGCATGCTACAGTCCCTGGTCTAAAATTTTCTAGCTCTAGGAAATTTGGAGCTCTGTCAAACACAGCCTAATTATTATTGTTCAAATCCCGCTCTTTGAGATGTGAAACACTGTTTTTATCTAAAACTATGCATGCACAAGTTGGACTCTTGCGGTACCAGGCCGGGGTTTTGGCTGGACACGCGATTCCTACCTTCGGTACGTGTTCTGGTACGGTTACGTACGCACTATTTGTATAATACGAAGGCCGCCGGGATCTGACTTCTGAGCGACGTACGCCAGCATGTTTCCTTGAATTAAGGCTCTCGTCTGTTGCCCTAGCTAATTTCGCCGCCGCCAATCTCCCACGCGCGCATGACATGGTTGCTGGTGATACCAACTCCTCATCTTCAGCTAACCCATCGCTGCTGCCCGCGACGTCGTCGAGATGCCTGACGCATGGCATCACCGCGACGCACGACTACAAGGTGTCCAACTTCTCGCTGCTCGTGGGCATCGGTCAGGTCGTTGCCTCGAGCACCTTCAGCGCCGGCGGGTGCAACTGGAGCATCAGGTTCTTCCCCGACGGCGACGACGAGACTCCTGAAGAGGCAGCCTCTTTCACTACGTAAAAAGGGTTTTGTAGGGGTGGGTGAATATCGTTTGTAGGGGCAGTTTGCCGAGCCGCCCCTACATAAGGGTCTCTACAAATCATGTATTTGTAGGGGCGGTTCCCAGACTGCCCTTACAAATCAATTTGTAGAGGCGGTTCCGCCCCTACAAATCGATTTGTAGGGACGGTTGGTACTGTAGCCGCCCCTATAAATCGATTTACAGGGGTGGTCTGGGAACACCAGCCGCCCCTACAGATCGATTTATAGGGGCGGCTACAGTACCAACCGCCCCTACAAATCATTTTTCTGTCAAAAAAATTTTAAATTTACAATTCAAATTCGACCAGAACATTTATTTATACCAGATTATAACAAATATTCCATGACAATACACGGTGCAAATTATTGTGCTTGCTGTTCATTTAAACTATGAGACTGCACATAGGTATATGAAAAGTATTGTGAAAACCAATCTTCGCTCGATGCAAGTAACACAAGAGAGAACAAGACACACCGCAGCAATTCTTGAAAATGTACAAGACAATGACTCGGTAAGCCTAATTGTCTCCACCTGCATAAACAGCAGCACCAAATGAGATGTCATATTGCTTGTGTACAGGCTGCAAACACTAACCACGAATGGAAAGCAAAGCCTTTCTTTTTTCTCGAACACAAAGCCTTTCTTTTGAATGAAAGAAAATGGAAATGTCCTAGGAACTGAGCCGAGCTCAGTTGGTACACCTACCACCCAGGTTCGTGTCCTTTTTTACTTCAATTTTGGTGTCTATTTCTCCTTATTGGCAATGCCACATAGTTCCTCTTAGTGTTTTTTGGGGGGTATTACTTTTTACATACAGGATAACTAAGGGTAATCAGCTGGCTAACAAAATGGCCACTTAACCAAGATGAAATGTGGGAACAACAGTAAATCTAAACTTCAAAGAGTAGACACAACAAAACAATTGAACCTAACCTTCAATAGTCTGCGAAGAAGTTGGTTGCAAGTCCTTAGCATAACTAGTTTTCCACATCCAAAAAGTTCTTGCTACAAACAACCCAAAACGATAATCGATCAGCAAAGTTACAAACATGCATCTTCTGTACTTAACCAGAACTAACCAAACAGAATAAGGATCACAATTACCTTCCCCAGTACATCTTGTTGGCTCTCAATATACCCAAAGATATCTTTGCAGTCTTTGATTGTTGACATTTCAGTTAGGTTTTCTAACAGCTGGAATACCATACCACCCTCAACATGCCCTCTTTCGCAAAGATAAAACACAATATCTATCATGGAAGAACATTGTTTTCTCAGAACAGAAACTAATGCTACACAGGCACCAAATAGTGTTCAAGAAAAAAAAGAGAAAGTGATGCCATAAGGTCCTCAGATAGGTATTGATTTGAACAAAGAATGTTGGAAGAACTGCAACTGACCAAGAAGGCGAGTTATCAAGCAGTTACTTTCTCCGCTATCCAATGAATTCCCATATTGCATGATCTTTTTACCCGATTGCACTGCAGATGACTAAGAATACAGATTTAATAAAAACAGAATCAGCAATCAATGTTGATTTCTAAGATTGCAAATGAAAATATGGAAATACAGACTCTCCATATAAAACAGAATCAGCAATCAATGTAATTTTCTAGGATTGCAAATAAAAATGCAGCCACACCTTCCGTTTTCTTTTAGAAATAATCATTAAAACCCTACTGCTCAGAACAGATGCAATGACCCAGAAAAATGCACGTGCCGACAACACTCCCTAACCAATTTATCATCAAGTGAGATCAAAGGACAGTGTAGCCACATAGAAAGTTACCACAAGCTCCTGCAGCAATGTTCGATGAGCATTTTCCAAGGATTGGTTCTCCTCTAGAACCAACACGGTTTCCTTCTGTGAAATGAGATATGCATGTCAAAGCACAGTCAAAGTACCGATGAAAATCCTAGTACTCCAGTCTTGTATATAAACAAAATCAGGAAAAAAAGGAATTGCAAATGCGCAAGAAGTGCACATGTACATTGTAAGCTTGTGTGGTCCATTTGCCCGGGGTAATTAACAGGCTTCTCCGACACTAACCAACAGAATTTTACAATTCCAAGATCATTCGTTAAACTGCACTTTTAACAACAGAAGAAATCACTTTCTGACAGGCAATCAGCATACAAAATGAATTGTGCAACTCACAGGAAGCAACTGACATCCTACGGTTGCACACGGCACAAACAAAATGAACCAGGGAAAGTTTTTTATTTCTTCTCTTTGCATACAGAATTCAAGCAACCATTTTTTTTTCCAAAAGCACAATTAGAAATTACCTGTGCCCACAAGGCATGGTGGTCGGCTCAAAGCAGATCTCCAGGCAAATCTGCACAATGAGCAACTCCCAAATCAATCCCCAATATTACAACATCACATTTAAACTGGGGAAGGGAATAAAAAGGTCCATCCACAGAAAAAAAAAATCATCCAGCACTTACAATGAAGGTGTCATTGAAGGATGCAAAGATGTGAGCAACACCAAAGACAGACTCTCCTTCACGGACAGTGGGTCCAAGGGTAACGTTCTCCTCCTTGGGCTCCCAGGTCTTCCTCCTCGACTGCAAACATATATGACTATCAGATTAGATTGAACTTATTGTCATGTTGACAGCCTCCAGAAACAATTTCACCATGCACAACGAGTGAACCTGAGTTCACCTCATGTTCTAATTTTAAGAGCCTAAGAGGACCAAAAGGCCATACTAATTGAGCACAATGCAGTATGAATAAATAGCCTGTCTGTGGATTTATACTATGAAATTGTGTTGAGCGAAAAAACGGATAGAAGCCATTCAACAGCAAATCAATCTCAGTATACTAATCAAGTCAATCATTTCAAGGATTAAAACTAGATTAGCATCACAATGTATATTGATATTGGGAAACAATAAACCTTGCAAAACATGACTTTCCAGCTTCGTAAATACTTCCAACCCAAGCAAATCCCCAGGTAATCAGCATATCTAACTCTTAGCTCGTAAGCAGTAGGTAATCAGCATCTCCGACTCTTAAGTTTGTAAGTAGTAGTTTCTACTTTCTAGCCGTATCAATACTTCCACAGTTTTAAAAGCACATCTCAAATATTGCATTTGACAGCTAAACATCTTCACCTAGAAGACTGATATCGCGATTAGATTCACAACAGAATTACCCCAGCACATCACTTCAGTCTTCAACTCAGGAGTACGAATTACAGTCAACTAATTCAGCGAAAGACGAATCACGATTGCGATGCAGCAGCCCACAGAGCACAAGCTCCAATCAAAAAAATTTCCACGCAAATCTACGCTCTCAGGAACCCCCACCGCTACAGATATTGCACCTAGATCCGCGTACTTAACCAGACGAGATGAGGCTCGCTTACCATGGTTGCGTGGATCGACGGGTGACCGGAGCCGAGCGCTGTAGGGGCGGCTGGTGATTGAGCCGCCCCTACAAATCCTACCTATTTGTAGGGGTGGCTCGTATCACCAGCCGCCCCTGCTGCTTTATTTGTAGGGGCGGCTGGTCTCGTGGATTCCGAGCACGTCACAGTAGGGGCGGCTCCATCACCAGCCGCCCCTAAAAAAAAATTATGCCGTTGCTAAAAACCGTTTGTTACGTAGTGTTTCACGGCGGTCTACATGTGCCTTGTGGCGGGACCGGCCGGTACTAGGGTCAAGTTCAAAATCACTCTGCTCGACGACAAAGGTCGCCGAGTGTCGACGAGGACAGGGAAGAGGAGGAAGAAGAGAAAAGAGACCGCCGACTTGACGAGAACCGAAACCTCCACCTACGACCGTGTCGGTGCCATGTGGGGCACGAACACGTTCTTCGACAGATCCGTGCTGGAGGGGCTGTGGGACTCCAACGACAGCTTCACGATCCGGTGCGCCATGGCCGTCATCCGAACGCACACGGAGGACGACGCCATCATCGAGGTCCCGGAGTCAGTCCTCCACCACAACCTGGCGCGCATGCTCAGGGACGGCGACGGCACCGACGTGACGTTCGTCGTCGGCGACCGGTTCTTCCGCGCGCACCGCTACGTCCTGGCCGCCCGCTCCATGGTGTTCAAGGCGCAGCTCTTCGGCGCCATGAAGGAGGCCCAAGCCTAGGGCAGCGTGCCGTGCGTCATTAGGGTGGACGACATGGATCCCGCCGCCTTCGCGGGGCTCCTCCATTACATCTACACGGACTCGCTCGCCGACGACTGCACCGCGGGCAGGGTCGTGGCGGCGCAGCACCTGCTCGTGGCCGCGGACCGGTACGGGCTCGACAGGCTGAGGGTGCTGTGCGAGGCGAGGCTGTGTGGCTGGATCGACGTGCAGTCGGTGGCGACCACCTTGGCGTTGCCCGAGCGGCACCAGTGTGCCAAGCTCAGAGAAGCTTGCCTCAGGTTCCTGTCCTGGCCGGACATGCTTCGCGCTGCCATGAAAACGGAGGGGTTCGGCCATCTCATTGCGAGCTACCCTTCGGTTGCCAGCGATATCTTGGACAAGGTCGTCTCGGCAAGAGTTGACGATCATTGATCAGTAGCCTCGCTTGTTCGTTGGTGTACGTTTTGGAAGGTGTGCTAATGAGTCTTATTTAAAATGTTGTCGGTCGAACTCATCTCATCTAAGAAAGTACTACCTCCGTTCCATTTTACGTGGCGCACACATATATCACGATTTAAATTTTAAAAACTTTAACCAATAATTAGGCTAATAGTTTTTAGTTATAATACAAACTTTATATAATTAGATTTGTAAGGAATTATATTATCTATATTATAAGTTTATAAGCATAAATAATATAACATAAAGCAAATGAATGGTCAAAATGTAATATAGGATTCCGTGTCATTCTAACTTGCCATACAAATGCTGATGTAGAGGAGAGAGAAGAGCTGGACTCTCATGCAAGCAATAAGCGATGCACGGATACATATGTAGTTGTGGGCCCATACTTGATGTGAATGTGAAGGACGAAAGAGAAGGTAGGACATAGGTAAAAGTAACAATAAAAAAGATCCTTTAAAAAACTAATAAAAAAGATTGTTATAGACAAATAAGAGACCCACTATTGTACAACTTAGCTCTTACATGTTACAACTTGGCTAATAGCCAAACACTTTCTATTATTGGCCTTACTTTAAGGGCACCCTCAACAACATAGCCAAATCAACTGCTGATGTGGCGCAATATATGATAGAAAACATAAAAGCTTACGCCCTGTTCGCTTGAACTTATCAGCTATGAAATAATGTTTTCTCTCACAACAAATTAGCTTCAGCCGGCTTATCAGCCGCAGAAATCATCAGTCGAACAACACGCTTGAACGTCGGAGCAGAGAGCAGCGAATGAGCATCTTGGGAGAAGTGTGAGACCAGCGCTTGAGACCTCACTAGTGCGATTGAGTTTACAATTCTCTCTCTCCTGTCTAATCTAACCAATAACATATGAGCTCGGCTAGAGATTTCGATAGCCGTTGGAGCTGCCCTAAGGGCAATCTCAATGCTAGAAACCATATATAGTTTCGTGATTTTCGGACTTGGTTTGGATTTTATATAATTTAAATACACTTTTCCCGCAAGTACATCGTCATGTTACGACAACAAGATGCTCGTAATTTCATGCGAGTTCCTGGATACGGCCTCAACATACGCCAAACATCATGAATACCATTTTTTGAATGACCAAATTCCATTATTTCATGTACATGCAGTTCAAATTTGAAATAGTCGAAAAAATTCAACGAAACAAAAATAATTAAGGAAATATAGTAAAAAACTCAAAATTGTCCCAAATTTTGAAATTGAGTTTTAATTACTGTAGCAAGGCCCCAAGAAAAAATGGGGAGAAAAAAACAAAAAAAAATAATTTGTCGAGTGCCAACCTTGGCACTCGGCAAAAAAGCCTTTGCCGAGCGCCAGGTAGGGCGCTCGGCAAAGAATTTTTTAAAAAAAATTAAAAAACCTTTGCCGAGAGCCTAACGTCGGGGCACTCGGCAAAGGCTGATGGCAGGTGGCCGCCGTCACGCTGGCCACCTTTGCCGACGGTCAAGTTTTGCCGAGTGCCCGGCACTCGGCAAAGATTTTTTTGTCGACGGCGGCTCTCGGCAAAGGCATATTTACCGACGGCCTATCTTTGCCGAGAGCCGCTGGGTCCGGCTCTCGGCAAAGATTGCCTTTGCCGAGTGCCCGACAGAAAGCGCTCGGCAAATCTATTTGCACTCGACAAATTGACCGTGTCCGGTAGTGTAAGCTTCTGAAAATCTAAGAAAAAATTTAGAGATATATTTGGGGCATGAGAAACCAAAAATATTTAGAGATCATGAAAAATATCTCTACAAACTTTCAAGCTCTAAGAAAATGGGTAAAAGCATCCAAACAATCTATAAAATTCTCAAAACATTGTAATCAATATCTAAGTATGTTTTAAAAACTTTCCTTAACGAAAACACATCTAAACAACATGAATGCATTTCACATTATTGTATTTTCCATTCATGTTGGTTGCATCTCATATTTTTTGTTGAATAAAGTTTTGAAAACATGTTTACACATTGATTAGAATGTCCTCGCAATCCGATGTGTAGTTAAAGTAATGAATATGTACAAGCCAAAACGCCTTGTAATTTAGGGCGGGGAGAATAGTGATTATTGATTATTTTATCAAATACTTATTTTTTTATTGATAATACTTATTATTTTATAAGGTTTTAGATTGAGCAGAACTAAAATCGAATACATGAGATACGACTTTGGTGGAGCTGCACAGGAGAAAGAGAGATGTGAGTTTGGATGGTCAAATAGTGCCTAAGAAGGATACCTTTCGGTATCTAGGATCGATGCTACAGAGGGATAGAGATATTGATGCGGACGTTAGCCATAGAATCAAAGCAGGGTGGATCAAGTGGCGACAAGCTTCTGGCATTCTCTATGACAAGAGGGTAGAACAAAAGTTAAAAGGCAAGTTTTATAGAACGACGATTAGACCGGCTATGTTGTATGGAGCAGAATGTTGGCCTGCAAAGATTCGACATGTTCAACAACTAAGTATTGCAGAAATGCGTATGTTGCGATGGATTTGTGGTCACACAAGAATGGACCGAGTTCGGAACGATGATATATGTGATCGCCTAGGGGTAGCACCAATTGAAGAAAAGCTTGTCCAACATCGGTTGAGGTGATTTGGCCATGTCCAAAGAAGACCTCCAAAGACACCAGTGCAGTGTGGAGTCCTAAGCTAAGCTAATAATATGAGGAGAGGTAGAGGAAGACCAAAATTAACATGGGGAGGCATTAAAAAGATATTTGAAAGCTTGGGATATACCTAAAGATTTATATTTGAATATGAGGGCTTACAAAGCAGCTATTGAAGTGTCTGAACCATGACTTGGGGCTCTTGGTGGATTTTAACTCTAGCCTACCCCAACTTACTTGAGACTGAAAGGCTATATTGTTGTTGTTGCATTCCAAGTTATAAGTCGTTTTAGCTTTTTTAAGATACATTGTTTTTCTATGCACTTAGATATACACTATGTCCAGATATATAGTTAAAGTAATGAATCTGAACAGCCAAAACGTTTTATAATTTAGAGCGGGAAGAATAATGATTATTGATTATTTTATTGAATACTTATTCTTTTATTGATTGCGGCTTTTTTAATACTTATTATTTTATTGATTACAGCTTTTTTATATATAAGTTGAGCCGCTATTCTAACGAGCTACTATTAAATACTTATTATTTTATTGATTGCAGCTTTTTTTAATATATAAGTTGAGTCGCTGTCCTAATGAGCTATATTAAATACTTATTATTTTATTGATTGCAGCTTTTTTTAATATATATAAGTTGAGCCGCTATCCTAACGAGCTATATTGAATACTTATTATTCTAATGATTGCAGCTTTTTTTAATATATAAGTTGAGCTGCTATCCTAACGAGCTATACCGAATAGAGCCATAATAAGGAGCCAAACAGCCCTAAAGTACAAATGATTTTTTTAATGTCGCAACTCAAACCACACACGCAGGCCAACAGCCCTCGCGCTGTGGCCGTTTCGTGATTGCAGCTTTGGGCCTCCACCGCTAAACTTATTGGGCCACGAAATTTTAGCCCCAGGCACGCACGACGCACGCGGGCGCGGCACGCTGTCCCTGCCGGCCTGCCCCACCCCACCCGAGCCGACGGCCGACGCAGCAGCCACGCAGGCAAGAGCCAAGAGAAGAGGCACGCGGGGCCGCCGCAGGGGTTTGTTGTCGTGCACTCGGGGCCACGGGGGGCAGTGGGGGGCACTCGACTCGTGCGCTGGGGGTTTTTCCCTTCTTCCGCGAGCTCCTCCCCTCGACTCCGGCCCGCCCGCCGCCGCAGGCATCGTGTCGTGCTGAAACGAACGCCTCCCGGCCCCGGGGGGATTCGACTCTGTTATAGTCCCCGATAATATCCCAGGTCTGGGCTTCCTGATCTCTCTCCCGATCCCCATCCAAGCTCCATCAGCCACCGCTTCCGTCAGCGGCGCCCTAGCCAGCCGGCCGCCCTGCGCTCCGTCGCTGATCCGTCGTGCCACGGGCCAATTCGCGGTCCCTCCGTCCATCGAGCGCGGCCGGATAGGCAATCGCGGCCCTGAGACGCCCTCATGGACGCCAGATCGGTCACGGGGCCTCCACAGCTGCCGACCCCGCCGGCACCTCTCCCCGCCGGCTGCTTCTGCCTGCCCAAGACCTCGTCGACGAGTCTGACCAAGTCCTTCACGGCGGTCCACGACTTCAGGGTGAGCGACTACTCGCTGCTGGAGGGCATGGGGTTCGGCAGGTACGTCAGCTCCAGCACCTTCTCCGTCGGCGGCCGCGACTGGGCCATCCGGTTCTACCCGGACGGCGCCACGGCGGGCTTGCTCGGCGACGTCTCGGCGTTCCTGTACTACTACAGCCGGGACCGGGACGCGCCCGGCGTCAGGGCCCGGTTCACCCTCAATCTGCTCGAGAAAGACGGGAAGATGCCCCCGGTCACCAACCCCTACATGAAGCACACCTTCTCTCCGGCCAGCGACAACTGGGGCTTCACCAAGTTCATGGAGAAGTCCAGGCTGCAGCAGGGCTCGCCGTACCTCGACAGGGACTGCCTCACAATCAGGTGCGTACTGACGGTCCTGATTGACTCCCGCACCGTGGCGAACGAGATGATCTCTGTTGTGGTCCCGCCGTCGAGCCTGCACCAGGACTTTGGGGAGATGCTGAGCGATGGCGAGGGGGCAGATGTCACATTCACTGTGGACGGCCAGTTGTTCTGTGCCCACAGATGTGTCCTGGCTTTCCGCTCTCCAGTGTTTAGAGCGGAGCTCTTTGGTCCAATGAAGGAAAAAGCTGAAAATATCATCAGGATCGATGACATGGAGCCAACAATCTTCGAGGCTCTGCTTCAGTTCATCTACACAGATCGTCTGCCTGATAGCTGTAGTGATGGCCGGAATCCGGCGATCACGCACTTGTTGGTTGCCGCAGACCGGTATGGAGTGGAGAGGCTAAGGTTGCTATGTGAAAGTAAGCTCAGCGAAGTCATTGATGTGGAAACAGTGGCGACAACGCTAGCTTTAGCAGAGCAGCACAATTGCTCGCAGCTGCGACGAGCCTGCATTGGGTTCATGGCCTCGCCAAACATGCTTGGCCCAATCATGGAAACCGATGGATTCAATCATCTCATTGCAAGCTGTCCATTGGTTATGAAGGAGATTCTAGACAAGGTGTCCTGCATTTGGAGTGGTAAGTAGTGCCAGTGCCAGTCATGTGTATTAATGTGACATATCTTTTAGGGAGTTGAGTTCATGATGTTTTAACAGTAACATCGGTTTCATGGCAAATGACTCAAAAAAATTGAAATTTCTCTAGGTTTGGGCATATGTCCAGTTGCTATCCATGAAACTCCATCTAAACATCAGTATCGATTCACCTTTGTCCCCTTGTCGTTAAATTGTGGTATTTAAGCCATGTGTGGTTCTGGTTCTGTGCTGCTGGTGCATGGAGCTTCAGAATAATTTTTCCTTCGATGAAAGTTGTGTTATGCTGTGCATTGTGTTGCATTGGTCCTAAATCATTTCCCATCTGATGTCTATAATTTATCCATGGCAATGCATATATTCAGGTCCTAATGTTTAATGCAAGATATGTCCGCTGTATTTTCCTTTGATCTACCTAAAATCACTGAGGATTTGTGATGATTGGTACCCGGTACAAACAATATGCTTTTCTTCTTGATATGTCATAACTTCTCAACCTAACTCGGTTGAAGTTAACCTGGCCATGTTCACCCTCCCACTATATACCTATTTGGATTGAAGCAGGCTAGAGCTTCATGCACCTAGAATTCCAGGTGACCGATTTTAGATGTTGGGACTGGATTTTTCTTCTCGAACACGCAGGAAAGCTGCGTATCATTGTATTGATAGAAGAATAATGAGTCATACAGAGACCCCCCACACCACTAGAAGCTTGTGATCCTAATCACCTATTACATAAAGACAAGACGCGACCAAAATGGCAAGAGCACAATCTAACCTCTCTCCCTAGCAGTGAGCAAGGCGAGTCCTTTGCCCCTTCCAGACTCCACCACTCTACCTCCTCCATAGCAAGGGCCAAGGCCGCTCTAGTGTTTGGAGCAGCTCCATTGAACACACAGTCATCGTGGTGCCTCCAAATAATCCAGGATCCAAGGATGATAATAGAATTTAGACCTTTCTTTACATCACCTGTAACCACCCTTTCCGCTCTGGACCACCATTCATCTAGAGATGTATCACTGGGCTGCGGAGCGAGGGCGGAGAGGCCGACCTGCTGAATAAGGGGAAACCAGAACTGTCTGGCAAACACGCATCCAATCAAGAGGTGTTGGATGCTTTCCTCATGCTGATCAGTGATCACACAGGAGGCAGCGATCATGGTGGGGGAGCCCTTGCTTGGCCAGCCGATCTGCTGTCCAACATCGGTTATGTGCCACCAGCCACATAAAGAAGCGACACTTAGGTGGAGTCCATGACCTCCATATTCGTTCATAGGGTTCAAAGCGGATGGCACCCTGAAAAAGAGCATCATAAGCAGATTTTGCGGTGTACTGACCAGTAGTGGATAGCCTCCAAATATGTCTGTCAGGTACGCCTTCCTGAAGTACCACAACAGAAATTATATCCCAAAGCTCCAGTACTCCATTAGTGCTTCCAGGGAGATGGCGCCTTGAATATCCTTCAGCCATTTATTATTATTATTGAGGGCCTCCATCGCAGTGCGCCTTCCAGACATCCTTTTAGTCACTAGTGCATACACCTTTGGTGCAAGGTCCTGGATGTTCTTCCCGGCCAGCCATCTCTCTCTCCTCAATAAAGTGTTGGCCCACAAGTTTGGCGGGAGAAGGATGTGCACACATCTCGTCCATCTCTCCAAAATCCTATCAAACTTACGGCACGGAAACCAAAAGCGACAGTTATTTAGGGACGTAGGGAGTACATGTCCAATCGACACCTACCAGCCACCACATATATCTATGCTCAAGATGCTTCTGGTTGGTGCAACCGATCGATCGATAGATATCTGAATTCATCACTCACTTGGTCCATGATGAATACATATCGGAACGTTGGGCGTTACGGAGCATCATCTTATCATATCCAAGTGATAAATCTAGCCATGGACGTGACAGTCGTTGTCGATCATGGTAGCCTTTATGGTAATGACTTAAAAATGGCCGACCGTTTTTTCTCATTTGCACGGCCCGACCTCCTCAGTGCTCACGCCCGCGCCCGACGCTCGCCCCACCCTGGTTCTTCTTCCCCAACTCCGCGGCCGATGCCCAACGCCCGCCCCACCCCTTCTTCCCCAACTCCGGCCTCCGACGCATGCCCGTGCGCCCGCCCCACCCCCTTCTTCCCTAACTCTGATGGGCTTAGAAGAGAAGGGGCTCGGGGGAGGCAGGCCGGCCAGGCGGTGGGGACGGCAGGAGGGCGGCTTTAGGGTCTTGGCGGCGGTGGAGGCGGCCGGGACAGGTCGGGGTGGGGCGCCATGCCCATGGAGGCTGGGGGAGGGGAAGAAGGTGGCCGCCGCGGAGCTCCGGTGAAACCCTAACGTGCCCGTGGCGGGCAGTGGTGGAATCCAAGGAGCCGCTGGCGCGAGGAATTAGAAGGCAGCCGTCCACCATCCCTGTAGCCCACTCCAATGCCTTTCTTCTACTTTGTTGTTGGCGTCTCTCGAAGCACAGACATGATGTTGTGTTCCGTTCCCTGCCTCCTTGCTACACTCGCCTCTTCATGGTCATGGGGTGTCGCAAAGATGCTGAGCTCTAGGCATGTAGGTTGCCCCCATCATCAGTCAGATAGAGTTCCCCATGTGTTGACGCTTAATTAGGTCACCACATCAATAAGGAGCTAGATCACTCGATGTAGGGCCTAGCCGACTTTGACGTTGGCCGACGCCTAGCGGATATCCGCACCTGGACCTTGTGCCTCAAGCTATGAGCGCGATACGCAAGACACGTTGCCGGAGGAGCCTCGCCGGGAGCGCGATACGCAAGACATGCCGGCGAGGTCTCTTAAGACCCGAAACCCCACACGCCCTAAGTTTGACAATGCTATTAGAATTAGATCATTTCATAACCAATGTTGCACCTAAACATCTTACTAGACAACACAACTTTTTTTAGGTAGAATTAGCACAAACATTATTAGGCAGCCTGAGAGAACGCCTAATCTATGAGCAATAAGAGTTACCATATATATAATTTTATCTTGTACTATTATAAAGCAAAACCCCACTACCATATTTTACTGCAATTTCGTGAAGCCACTAACATCATCCATTGAGTCTTCGTACAATCCATACATGGAACTTCCATCTCCTTGCATCCTGTGCCCTTTGGTTTGTTAATCTCCTCATCTCCTGTAACTGATTAGCCATAATGCCCTGCTGGGATCATTGATGCCAATGTCACATTCTTCGTATCAGTATGTTGCCACTGGAATGCCGACATAGGCAGCTTTAAAGGTGAGGATTGCTAAAACTTACACGCTATTCACATTCTGTTATTGTTACTATCTCCAGATCCTTATTAGTTAGGCGTATATGGTATAACTCAAATTCACCAGTTTCAAATGTAGTTGATCATCATTCTGCAAACAGCCTATTATGTACAGTACGATGATAACTGACAACTGAAAGTGGTTTTCTCCCATGTGTTCGTCCAATGAAGAACCATCTAGATTAAGCTAATATCTTTACATTCTTATTAACTATTGCAGTCCTTTCCAAATTACTGAGAAGATAAGAAAAAAAGTTTGCTTGCAGCACTGATTTGTTTGTTGATTGGATTTGAGATTTGTATCTTCAGTTGATTAAAGAACAAGTCCATGATGTTGCATTTAATATTTTTTTACTTAGAAAACCATAAATCCTAATTTTCCTGCATCCCTTGTTCTTTCTGTAACTTTGCAGGTAAAGGCTCTTTTGGCTGATTCGGAACGAAGTGAACTTTTGAGAAGACTCAGCGAAGCAAATCAATATAACAGATTCCTCAAGAGACAGGTTATTTTTAGTGTTCTCTTTCAAATAACACATCATCAAATATTTGTCCATAGCGAACTATTTTCTACTTCTCCCAAATACTAAGCTACTGAAGGAATAGCCAACAGCGGCTCAATTTCTTAATCTATTGAAAACAGCATATAGACATTTAATAAAAGGAAAACCAACTGCTCTGTCCAGTCATTGTGTTTGTAATCATGAGGTGGTCAGCGACATACAGTGAATTTGCTTTGATCAGAAACAAATGCATGTAGAACTCACCAGCTACTTTTAAGTTCAGTCTAATTCACTTTTTTAGCAAAATCAAAGGATGTCTACTTAACAAAAAATGATAGAGAAAGCATAATTTAACAAAATAGGGGCTGTGGCAAAGCTAGGGAGAACACTGCCCAGGATTCCGAGTCCTGTACTAGAAATGCAACTCACAGCAGTTGCTCACAAAATATAATGGTGAACAGAAAAGCCTGGTTGTAGCTGTTGGTGATTAGCAAAAGTGAAAAGTAACTGAGACAAGTTACTTTAGAAGACAAGCAATTGAGACAATTGTTGTTGGGAAACAATGTCATCGTGTTTGCTAACTTCCTTTTTTTTTGTTTCTTATTACTTCTAGGTTTTGAAGGGCGGGCCTGGTGCAAGCGGTAGAGTCTTACCGCCTGTGACCGGAAGGTCCTGGGTTCGAGTCGCGGTCTCCTCGCATTGCACAGGCGAGGGTAAGGCTTGCCACTAACACCCTTCCCCAGACCCCGCACAAAGCGGGAGCTCTCTGCACTGGGTACGCCCCCTTTTTTTATTACTTCTAGGTTTTGGTTGAGAAAATGGGTCTACCTGGAGGAAATAATGGTCTGTCCTTGGATCTGTCTGATACATTAGGCAACAACTACATGCTCTTCGCACCTTACCTAGGTTCTATATTTTTCCTCCATGGTGAGTGGTGCTTAATAAATACGTACATCCAAGGAGTCTCACACGAGTGGACTGCAATGTTGTTTGTGACAGGCTGCTGCAAATGGTGGAAGAATGTTGCCAAAAGGATTGCTACCCTCGAGTTTGTCACACAAGGACATCAATTGGTGCCATTGTGAAAGCCAGTTCAGGAAGCAATACCCTGCTCGTGAAGGTATCATTCCCCTATTTCCTGCATTTGTACTTAACGATTTTTCATGTACAAGTGTACCCCTTCTCTAAATATGATTTTCATTGGATCACATGTTTGCTGAACTGGTATTCAGAGTGCTTGTATTCATGGCAGGGAGCTGTTGAAACTTTACTTGAGCATCGGCGTGTGTTGTGGGTGCCGCTGTTTGGGGATCTCTCTTGAAGGTGGCGGCGGCGGCATGTGCTGTACGTGCCATCGCCAGCCTGGAACACGAGTCCTGCACAGCGGACCCGGGTGCTTCTAGCGCACTCTGCTTCCAGTTCGTCTTTGGTCATTCCATCTACTTCTGATGATTCTAAATCATGCTTTGCTTTCAATAGGCAAGACGAACGAGATGGGCAAGAGGCAACAAAGGTTTCATGTGAATACGGGCTTTGCTTTCAATAGCTGTATTGCTGACAAGAGGCCTCTTCAGGCGTGGAATTACATCTAGCTGCTCAACACGGTCAGATATGGGTTTCAGGTAAGGCTGCTCATGTCCCTGTTGAAAACTTCCATTTCTGAAAGTACATGCGTTGCTCATAAAATAGTCTGGTCAGTTTTTTTTGTGACAAGTGCAGCAGATTGCGACTGTCGTTTTGTTTTTGCAAGGCCCTGATTTAATTGCTCCTATTTTTGCATTCCCTGATATTTGTACTTTTCTAACTTTACAAAGTCAGAATTGCCTAGCTTTCCTTGGTTGTGCATGATTGTATAAGATTTACTGTACCCGAATTCATATCCCTCCAAATTTTGTGTGAATCATACTAAATTTGCTCTGACCCTGTCAGTTACATGTATATTGATTCAATTCATCGAGTGCCATTTAATTAGGACGGTTATTATGGGCATCGAGCTAGGAAGCCCTTAGTTTGAACAGTGTGATATTTGACCACTTGATGCCTCTCCAATAGTTTCATAGTTCAATCTCATTTTACGGATTGTATTGCATTATTGTATCCTGTTACAGGGAGATGGAACTGAAAGATATTTTATACCTCTTCAGTCAATGCAAAAAGTAATTATCCTGGGAAACTACATGAGGCATTTTTACTACTTCGACCTGTACTTCCTCTCTGTTGTATATTTTGGAAGATTTTTACCCTGCACAAAGCAATTATTGGTTCTTTTCCATGCACATATAGGTACTGAGATTAATACAGTAAAAAACATTCCTTCTATGCATGTCATCCCCACATATTTTATTCTGAATTTAAATTCATTCTACCTAGCATTCACAGTCGAGTAATTATTTGTGCTCTGTCTGATTGAAACAAACCATGATACATACAGGCAACAGCATTTATAGAACACTGTAGTAGATGAAACTCATACGGAGAGCATACCAACTGGTTGTTCAAAAATTATGAATGTTAATTTGCATCTCGAAGATAAACATCTTGTATATCCAAAGGGGTGTCAAATGACAGAAGCTGTATGTATTGATTTCTTTGAGCCGGAATAGAGGCATGGAACTACCAGCCTGCAGGTAAAAACTTGATCATTTTGCAATACTTTCTCAATAATAGTGTATGCTGTGAGACTTAAAATCTTAGATATCTTTCTTATATCTTGGCCATGGTTTACCATGTCTTTTGTGTTGCCAAATTCCGCTACCTCAATGAGCAAATAATGTCTAAAAAAGTGCAGAGATTTAGAGAAATCTTAGGATTGGTTGACAGATGTTGTATTTCAGCATTAGTTTTTGTTAAGATAATGATGCTTAATGTGTTGGCATGTCTGTTCCTCCAGCTTCAGGCCTTCAGTCAAGCACATCGAAACAACAGAGCGTGACGAATTTGGCATGTGTCAAGCTGAAGAAAGTTGACGGTCACTGGAGGTTTAGGTTAGGTTTACATATCTCATACCAAAGGAAATATCCACCTAACTTTTCACAGATTTGTTTGTAGCAAAGAGCTAAAAAATTCTGATTAGGTACATGCATACATGACGATCATATGAGCTTTAGAATTTGGAGGACATGTCTGGTGACTGGTGCAACGGGCACGCTTGGTTGTATGGCCCTGAGGTATTTACCTATTACCGAGGGGAGAAAACAAAATTAGAGTAGTGTTATTAGGACACTCCACATTTTACTCAGATGCCCTGACAACCGGAGCCTCTAATCTATGAGCAAGGGTCTCTCTTTGACCGAGAGAGGATGTGAAGCCCATGATCACCTTTATTGTACTTCTGGTTATCCTACTTGATGCTATCTTGGGTCTTGGATTGAGCTTACTCTGCTTGTGTAATGATATTCCGGTATTCTTATGTAACTTTGTGAAGAACTAATATTGATGCAATGGACATTTATGAACCCTTATCATGTTGTTTGTCAGTTCGATGGTAAATAAAGAAAAAGGCGTTACACCTGCATGAGACCTTTATGTCAGCTATTTGAGGAACTATGTTATCAGCGTGTTAAGTTTGTACCTTTGAACCTTTGTATTACTTATCTTAGGATCTATGTTATTAATGTGCAAAGTTTGTAATCTCAAACATCTTGGCTTTGCTTTGAAACTTTATGTCAGCTATCTTAAGATCAATGTTATTAACGTGTGGTACGTTTGTAATAATCTTCAAACATCTTAGCTTTGCTTCATGTTTTTGTTTAGTATATGTCGTTGTGCTTTTTCATAAAGATACGTGCGGTGCCAGCCCGCGCGCAAAGGCGCACACTAATCACTAGTACATATAGTGTTCTCCCTTTGTCTCACCACTTTTTCCTTACCTGGATGTTGCTCAGCTTCCGTGATGGTTTCTTATGATTCTCATTAGTCATTTCCATCCCTGATTAAGCTCTAGCGACGCAGGGTTTCAGTCGTCAATCGACCTCAGTTGTGCTCTTGCAGCAATGCTCTCGCAACCAGATCAAGCGCTAACTGAACAGTACGTGAGTTTGTAATACATCATGACCGATGCCTCGCTGGCATTGACGTCGTCATCGAGAAACTTCTGCACATCACAGTCATCGACACAGGTGAGGCATCGCCATGAAAGCTCAAGTGTCATCAAAACTGAAAAGGCATCTAGCATTTGCTCAAGGGTTTCTGGGATTGTATGAGTTCTGTGATAGGATGTCACGATGTTTGACATGACATGTCTTGAGTTATTAATTCGCCGCTGTTCAGGTGCTCGTAGTTAGTACCCCCTCAATCCATAAAAGAACGCAGCTATGGTTTCGTGTGAGTCAAACTAGTTTAATTTTGACCAAGTTTACAGTGAACAATATTAATATTTATTTATGTCTCGAACTAATTTTATTACGAAAACATATTTCGTAATCAATTTAATGGTACTTATTTGGTATTATAATTGTTAGTAAAATTTTATGTATTTTTAGTCAAACTTCAAATCTTTGGACTCCTAAAAAATATGAGAATTGCATTCTTTCGTGAACGAAGGGAGTATAATTTTAGCATGTGCGAGTACATGTATATTTAGTAATCAAGCAATAATCATTATTTTTCACCACACGGACTGTCTTAACTAATTTAACTTTTGTTATAAGGAAAACTACTTCAGTCCTCACCAGAAATTATTATCTGGTGAACAATTGGGGACCATTCAAAAGAATATATTTTCATTTTCCTGTGTCATAGCACACCATTTTTTCTTTCGTATGAAAATATCATGCATCTAAACATTGGACATATATTTCAATTCCACAATTCTTTTCAGCAAGGTTTTCTATTTTCATCTACAATCACCTAAGTTTCATCGTCTAATTCCCGCAGGGGAAATAGAAAAGGAAAAAAAAAATAGATAGGGGGCTTCCCTGCCGTTTCCTAAAAAAAAAACAATTCCTGCAGGGGAATGCATCTAGTATAGTTTTATATAAGTCAAGTAGTAGTTTCTTATATACCTTCTTTTTTTTTATCGGTCTTATATTATATACCTTCTCGGATAATCAGTGCAGGCCATCGTGTCGTGCCGGCTCAATTTCAGCATTACAGCTGTTCTTGACAAAGCAAGCACTAGTGCACAACCAAATCGGACCAGCTCCACCGCACGGCCCACGGCCCACGTTAAGTCTCCTCGTCTCCCATTTCCTCCTCGCCGTCCCTCCTCCCTCTCTCCCGTCTCGGCTAGGGTTAGGGTCGTCTCGCCAAGTCGCCATGATGCAGCAGCCACCGCCGCCGCAGCCGCAGCCGCAGCCGGGCATGGCGGCGCCTCCTCCTCCTCAGGCCGGTGGCGGGCAGCCACCGCAGTGGGGCGGGATCCCGCCGCCGATGACGCAGCAGTACGGCGCACCGCCTCCGCAGCAGCCTCCGGCGATGTGGGGTCAGCCTCCACCGCAGGCGCACTACGGGCAGGCGCCACCCCCTCAGCCGTACTACGCCGCGCCGCCTGCGCCTGCGCCGGCGTCGGCCGCCCCCACTGCGGCTGACGAGGTCAGGACGCTCTGGATTGGGGACCTGCAGTACTGGATGGACGAGAACTACGTCTTGGGATGCTTCTTGAGCACTGGGGAGGTATGGGACCCGATCTGATTGATGCTGGCGGTGGATGCGTGTGATTTCGATTGTTGCTCTTCACGGAATATATATGATGTGCCCTTTGCTGCCGCTAATAGTTCTTGCTTTAAGGTTTATAAAGCTTTGATTCTTTATTTCTCGTTTTGTTATGAATTTCGTACGACTGCTGACGATTGAAGCTCCAGGCTAAGTTGGTAGTGATTCTAGAGCCTATTGTAACGATCAAGCTCTGGGCTATATTCTTGAATCGGTATTTTTAAATCTGGTTTCATGAATTTGTTAGCATGATCTAGTGATAGTTATGTATCCTGTAAAATTTCTTAAAATTGTGGTTTTCTGTTTTTTTTTTTTGCTGCCTATTATCTCTTGCCCAAGGGTAATAATGTTTAGCAGCCATAACCCTTAATTTTTTTGCGCAATTCTATTTATATGCTTCAGTTTGAGTTTCCTGATTGGTGTTTATAGCTGTTGCTGCCCATGCATTCAGGATTTTCTGACCCTTTACTTCATATTTACATGACTTTGCAGGTTCAAAATGTGAAGCTCATCCGTGACAAGAATTCAGGACAGCTTCAGGGCTATGGTTTTGTTGAATTTACAAGCCGTGCAGCTGCAGAGCGAGTTCTTCAGACATACAATGGACAGATGATGCCAAATGTTGAGTTGACATTTCGGCTGAACTGGGCCAGTGCTGGTGAAAAGCATGATGATACTCCTGACTATACTATTTTCGTTGGGGATTTGGCTGCAGATGTTACAGATTACTTGTTACAAGAGACATTCAGGGTTTATTATCCCTCGGTGAAGGGTGCAAAAGTTGTGACTGATAAATTGACAATGCGCACAAAGGGATATGGGTTTGTGAAATTTGGTGATCCTACAGAGCAAGCTCGTGCAATGACTGAAATGAATGGAATGCCTTGTTCTTCCAGGCCTATGCGTATTGGTCCTGCAGCAAGTAGGAAAAATACAGGAGGTGTTGTTCAAGAGAGAGGTAAGCATGGCCAGTCTCATGTCCCTGTGATTCTTGTTAGCTTCTACATGTTTGCTGATTGATGCAACTGAGGATACATTTAACTTGTTCTGTTCATATTGATCCTTTGGGTTGTTTGACTACTTGTGTTCAAATCAAAGTTAGGCATAGGTGTTGACCACTTCACTTCCAGAAGTCATTATTCCTAGTACAACATTCCCAGTGTGAATTTGGATAATTTAATACATAGAACGATAGTAGACTCATGGAACTCATGTTATCTGGAAGCAGGATACCAACAGGCTCTATTTGTATAGGAGCCTTGGAACTGACCTGAGCTGCAATGCATTTCTTGTTTAATGTGTGGCCTCATTTAGGTCAGTGTAAATCATTTATGTCCTAATTTCTAAGTTGGTTTCCTTAAGTTTATGGTTCTTTGTACTTTCCCATGCTATCTCTGATTCTGTTTCGTCTGTGTATGCACTTAGTGCACAATTTCTTTTTGTACATCTTTTATTAGTGCATGCTTTCCACTAAGGCTGAGGGATTGAAACTCTTTTCCATATATTTAGGTGTTGATGGTCGAGTCTTGCCTACGTATTCGTCAGTTTTCCTTTGTTTCCTTCAACTTAGATTTACCAATATCTGTGCACAACTGCCCATGTGCATGGTTTGTGCCTACTTAGCTAATCTGAGATATAAAGTAATGGTTAGAGCTGAGATTTTAATTGCATAGTGTGTTCCATATTTTGTTCTATTGGTTCAGCTTGGTTTCATGCTTTATGCACAGTGTACCAAAACAACATTTTTTTTCCTTGGACCAATAAATAATTTTCTGCATAATCTATTTTTTCTTATTGGCTCTCTCTTTGGCAATTTAGCCGCTTGAATCCTATGTTACCTGAATTTTGGACCTGTCTAGTTGACTAATGTTCTTACCAATACCATGATTCTTCATAATTGTATGTGTTAGATGGGCTAACTTTGTATAATTGCTCTGATGCATTCTATTCTCCTTTGTACATATAACACGATATGCATGCCCAATTTGCCATTTGTAAATGTTCTCATTGTTGAATATGAGTTAACCTAATAACTTTAGTGACAGGCTTTTCCGTGGTAGCATTCATTTATTAGATATTACTATTCATCAATCTTACAATATGTTGCCTTCACTTTTTTGCTTTTATTTACAGTACCAAATTCTCAAGGAGCTCAGTCTGAGAATGATCCTAACAATACCACTGTGCGTTCTTAATTCTTTTTTTTTTTCTGCATATCAGTCATTCATCTCCCAGTTTTTTGTTAACTTTGTTCTGTTGTTGTCTTCAGATATTTGTTGGTGGGCTTGACCCCAATGTCACTGAAGATACACTAAAACAAGTTTTTTCCCCTTATGGCGAAGTCGTCCATGTTAAGATCCCTGTTGGGAAGAGATGTGGTTTTGTTCAGTTTGTTACCAGGTTGACCTTTATTTACTCATTTGGTCTGTTGGCATGTATTTGTAAAGGTATTTTTGTCTTAGTTACTATGACAATGCATTTCAGACCTTCTGCCGAGCAAGCGCTGCTAATGCTGCAAGGGGCCTTGATTGGTGCACAGAATGTTCGGCTTTCGTGGGGTCGAAGCCTGTCGAACAAGCAGGCTCAGGTTATTTCTTGCATACCATTTTTCTTCCTTCCATGTTGTATAGTGTAGATGAAGTGGCTAATACTGATGTAAAAATTCTCAGCCTCAGCAGGAATCCAACCAATGGGGTGCAGGAGCGGCTGCTGGTGCTGGTGGTTACTATGGTGGCTATGGACAAGGTTATGAGGCTTATGGCAGTGGGTATGCACAACCTCAGGATCCTAACATGTATGGTTATGGTGCTTATGCTGGTTATCCCAATTACCAACAGCAACAAGCTGCACAGCAGCCACAGCAACAACAGGTGAAGCTCCTAGCTAATTAATGCCATTTTGAGTTTAAATGGTGACAAAATCATCACCATTATTATAACAAATGTATGCCAGCGCTCAGATTGCCTTGTTCAACCATGCTTACATGCCAGGATCAATAGGCATTACATGATGTCTATAACCTTACTGATCACATGCTAATTTTGTTCTCTCTTGCAGTGAGGCGTGTTTGCTCGGGTAGGTCATTGGGTTGTCGAGATGGAATTAATTAATATTATTTCAAGGCACTCTTATATTGCATTCTTGTCAATAGAGGTGGTTTCGAAAGGCTCCTGATTTTGATGGCCCCATGGCCCGGTTTCATCTATTTATATCATATATATGCACTGTGTTGTCTATGAACAAGTGGTGCTCTACTGTGATTGCTATGTTGAGACATGCTTTCTTAGTTTCTTTCCATGCTTCTTGGATCTATTGTTACCTGTGTTACTGTGTACTGCATATCTACTGTGATGCTATATGCCTATATTGAGACATGCTTTCTTAGTTTCTTTCCATGCTTCTTGGATCTATTGTTACCTGTGTTACTGTGTACTGCATATCTACTGTGATGCTATATGCTCTGTGCCTTTTGTTTCCTATTCCAATTTTCTGGTTACTTTGCGTTGGATTCGTTCTTTATCACTACGGACAACCGTGTTTTGTTCTCAGGTTGGGCACATGGACATGCACGATATCATGACACAATGTGTCGATGGCAACGTGGCCTCATTTTTGTCTGTTTCGACGCCTTTACCTCAGTTTTGCCGTTGTGACTGTATAGAAGCATGAGCTACCGTCGTTTTCGTGGCCGTCCAAATCTGAACACAGTGGTATTACAGTACGATGAATGCTTTTCAGTATTCTGCGTGGAATTCCACCATGGGTGTTTCTTTACGATAGCGTAACTCGCTTCTGGAAGCTAGGTAGGTGGCTTCGCTTTGGCCAAGTGATAAGGATGGATCGTGTAAACAACGAGCTTGTGCCAGGAACTACCTTTTGAGTAGACATTCGTGGTGCTGTACGCGAGATCAGATCTAGGTATCATTTGAATCTCTACCACAGTTCGCACTAATTTCCCCTCGGTAACGCCTTTCCTCGTTTTCAAAATTTCAAAGCGTAACACATGCATGCAAAATTTGGTGTATATATATAATAAATAAAAAAAATCCAAACATGCCCATGCTTCGCTTTCGCGTACATACCGTACCGATATAATCACCTATTAAAAAATCACGCCGCCAGGCTTTAAGATTCGCGCGGAGCAAGAGCAGACGACGCATCAGCCCGGAAAGGAATGGGGCACAAAAGGCGCGAGAGCCCAAAGCGAGTCCGAGTCACACGGCCGCGCCCCTCGGTCCTTTCCCCGCTTGCCTTTTTTCGGGTCGGCTCGTCGCCTCCCCTCCCCCCTTCTCTCTCTCTCCCATGGCCCGCCCCAGGAAGGCGAAGCCGCCGCCGCCGCCGCCCTCGCCGTCCATCGCCGAGGCGCTGCTGCTCGCCACGGTCTGCATGGTGGGCCTGCCCGTGGAGGTGCGGGTCCGCGACGGATCCGCCTACGCCGGCGTCCTCCACACCGCCTGCGTCGACGCCGGATACGGTGCGCGCTCCGCTCTTCCCTCACTCCCCTTCCTCCCGCTCCCAAACGTAAAAGCTCGCCCTTGCTGGGGTCCGCCCGCAGGGTTTGGGGATCACGGGAATGCCGTCCGGGACGTGATCCAACAGTGGGTGGAGTCGGGCGGTGGGTGCTGCCGGGGCTGGCTGGTGCCCCCGGTTTCCTTTGCATCCGATTGATCTGCTTGCTTGACGTGTGGTTGTGGTCGCTGGGAGCCCGCCGGATGTTAGTTTTCTCGGTGCGTTGGGATGGATTTGGAGGCGGGTGGTAGAGATCGCTGGGTTTGGTTCCTCTTGTGTTACAGCTGTGCATGCTTTCTTTTGTCCGCAGCCAAGATCTCGGTCGTTTCATCTTGGCTGGGGTGGTTGATTTTGCGGTGTCGTGGGAACCACAGCATGATTGGACTCAAGGTATGGATTAGGGGATGACGTACTGCGGAATTCCGAGATCATAGGGAGGGCTCCTAGCAATGTATGTAAATAGAGTATGCGATACTTTTGTGGTAGGCATTTATTACTAGTTTGTCCTATATACGATTCTAGCTGCGAGTTGAAGCGCCAAATATTTAGAGATGAAAAAAAAACGTCTTTCTGTTGGGAAAAACATTGCATTGATGACTTCATGTTGGGCAGGTGTCGTGCTAAAGAAAGCAAAGAAGATTGCAAACGGGAAGGGAGATGCGAATCTGTCGCTGGGATCATTTGTGGACACTCTTGTTATTTGCCCAGATGACCTTGTTCAAGTGATTGCAAAGGTAGGTTTAGTTCAGTACCATGCTACGAGGCATTGTCTTGTACCGGTGTTCATGATAGCCGTTCTTTTTTCTGCAGGGTCTTTCGCTCCCCCTTAAAGGTGTTTGTAAACCTCTTGACTCCAACATGGTGGCTGCCAGTGGATCCTTGAAGCCTCAAACTTCTCATGCAAATGACCTGAAAATGTCTGAAACTGAAAATATATCTCCACTTATGTATGTTCTCAATTCCAGCTATGCATACTGTTTTGTATTGTTCCATATATATCGCATTTGGATTGTATGTATGCATCGTACTTGACCCCAATGTAAATGAGAAATTGTTTTTTTTTCTTCTCATGTGGATTCAAGCAGTAGACATAAAGGAATCTATTTAACTTCATTAAATTCTTACTTCGTTCCATTGTTGAACAATTAATACTATTTTTGTCTTAGGCAAGCTGAGAAATACGCCTCGGTGGGTCAGGAGAAAAATACTTCTGTTAAGAAAAATGGTCAAAGTATGAATCCCTTTTGTTTCTTCTATTACCAACATAGTATTTCTTCCCTTTGCTCCCTTTGCATTAAATCTGCTCAATTGCTCAGATAGTGGTAGCACTACAAGTTTAAGCTCCTCAACCGGACATGCGGGGCCATGTTTCTCCAAGCATAAAGTTGATGTTGTTACAAGTTCGGCTATAGCTGCGCCCGTGGTGGCTTCAGATGTTAAACCCTCTAAGCCAGTCAATAATTCAGTTACCAAGATTGTCACTTCAAGCAAAACCGCTGCTAAGGTAAGCTCATTTAATATTGGATTGTGACAGTTCTGTACTGATCTGACTTCTTACCTATTAGGCCCTGTTCGCTTCTCTTATAATCCGTCTTTTTCAGCTTGTTTTTTCAGCCGGAACAGTGTTTTTCTCTCACAACAAATCAGCCGGAACAGTGTTTGCACATTTTGTCTTCTGTTTTGAGTTTTGACCATACCTGTAGTTGCTCGCTGTACAGATTTGTTGATTATGTCGGTTGTTTTATGAATCCTTTGTTTCTATGTTAATAGAACAATTGTACATTATTTCAGGAATTTAAACTCAATCCTTGTGCAAAGGTCTTCTCTCCATCTTTTGCAAGTTCTAGGCAAGTACTTGCAGCTACGGCCCCTGTTGACACATACTACATTTCACACTCTGCCCCTGAAGCACCAATGGGCGTACCTGTATATGAGTCAAAATCTGTGTCAGGCATTTCACCTCTATCCAACAAGGTTCATTGTAGTAACCTGTCTCCTGCAAACTATGCCATTTCACCTCAATATGTTCAGTCAGTAAGTACTTCGATCTATTCTTATGTGCTTTTGATTGTTTCAGTTGTTTCACCCTTCATTGGATAATACTATAGTATTCCATTGATATTAAAAAAGGAAATATTGGATAGCAACTTGTAACATGCCTCCCATAGTTCAAGTTGATAACTTGCTGCACATGGGTTACTCCATTATTTTTTTTTCTATATCTGAGCTCGTGCACTTATTCCTAATCTCCTACTCCCTCTGTCCCTCTGTGTGTGTCGTTCTAGGATAGTAGTTGTTGTCTAGATTCACACAACCTTCAATGCATCTGTACACACCTATGTCCAGGTTCAGTTAATATTTGCTGCACTTGGTACAGAGCCAAAACGACGGACATATCGGGACAGAGGGAGTATGTGCTTTGCAGTTGAGCTATGCAAGCCATTCTTATTTGTTAGCTGGCTAATTTACCTTTTCTGTTGGCCTAAATGGATAAATTGAAATTGTAAACCGATTGTTCATGTCAGCTTACAGCTTAGCACAGCAACTTTAATTTCATTCTGAATTTCTGATGCAATAAAAATCACTCTTTTTTACTCCGAACTGAAAAAACTAGGTCACATGTAAATGTATTTTATGTTTGATTGAAGGCTTCTTTTAACCACTTGTCTTTTATGTTCTGTTACTGTACTTTGTGCAAGCATATGCCAATACACTAAAATTTGATCTTGCTTGCTGCCTCTATCGTGAATGTCTAATTCTAACATTAGCATCCTTCTGAATTCTGATACTGCTTAACCTTTTGGGTCATAGATCGTGGGCCATAATGCATCGAGGCTAGACCCAGCCAGAGTTGGCACACCATACCATCCCATGCAGGTGGGCGCAACCTACACTACCCCTAGTCCTCAGCCTGTAAGTCTAAATTGCCTGACCTTATATACATAAAGTTATGTTAATTTGTGTTCTAATAAAAAAAATATTTTATGTGACTACATGATAGGTAATGACTGGGAAGTTCAGTCCTGTTGTTTATGTTCAACCAGTTCCTCAGGTGAGTGAATCACAATTATTATTTGCCTTGACACTTAAAGTGGATAATATCAAGAATAGGACGACGATGCAGAAAATTGTTCACTATTATATTTATAAAATCTAGACCTTGGGTAAAGTATTTTAGCTTTACACTCCTGCAACTTTGAGTGTTCTTCACATGTGATTCACCTTTGCTGCCAACCCTGATGTTGCACAGATTATTTTACATATTAAGTTAGTTTGTTAACTGGAATGAACTGTTTTCTTTTGGAATGTTTTTCTTTTCTGTCACAGTTGATCTGTTAACCTGTTTAATCTTCTTGTTATCTCTGGCAAGTAACCAACCATGTTTCATACAAATGATATGTAGTCTAAATAGTATAAGTTAGCACAGATCTTTTTCCCCGTCCTCTTGACTCATCTATTCTTGGTTCCTGTTGAAGGATGCAATGCATGGAACACCCCTTGGTTTTCAAGGATGGCCTCGCCCTGTGCTGATGAATTCATATCAAGCTAGCATGCAGAAGTTTCAAGGTAACAAACCAAAAACATGGCTTTGGCTACTGTAGAAACTATATTGCAATGTTTAGCTTTAAGTTTCTTTTTCTCGAATGGAACATACTTGTTTTGGACTGAACTGACCTGGAAGTACCTGCAAAATCTTCTCTCTAGGCAACACCCCGGTGTATTTGGCCCCTCCAGTCATGGCAACTGGGAACCTGCCATTGGTGGTACCAAGCCCTTCACTTGTGCAGCCGTTCCAGGCCATTCATCCCATCATGGTCCCTGCTGCAAGCAGCGTGGTCCCAGTAAAATACATGTAAACTTGTCGTACCAATGACAATCTCCTTTTGTTGGAAGAATCCTGGCTTACCCCTTTGGTTTGGGGTATACGTCTGAAAGGACAACGCGATTTTGCCTAGTCTGTTGATTCACTTGTCAGTTGCTGGTCTGTGTCCGTATTTTAGTTGGAAGGGCTTTGCAACTTCTTGCCATTCTTCATGCTTGGTGTGGGTTTCTGAAATATTCTTTTTAGGGGGGGGTTCCGTGGGCAGTAAAATGAAATAGAGAGAAATTGCAGCAATTCTTTGTTATCTTAGCAACACCTTTTCTTCTTCCAAGAGCACTATGTACAATGTGACATTGTAAAAGAGTTAGTGAAGGCCTTATTTTCACGAGGCTAATGTACATTCATCTTGCAAGTGTAACAACTTTTGAAGTTCTTTTAAGAAAAAAAAACATGAAGTTTTCTTTGACAATATTATTTCTGTAATGTTAGCATTATTCTTTTTCTATTAGAGCTCGCATCGATCGAAATTGGTTTACATCGGCAATAAGAAGTCATTTAGGACAACATAGTCCCAAGTCTTAAAAACTATACTCTCTGTTTTAAATTACAAGTCATTCCAATATTCTTGGAGGCAAAACATCTTAATTTTGATCAAATTTATATAACAAATAGTAACATTTATAACCTCAAATAAATATCATTAGATTCTTCATTATTAATTATATTTTTATAGTATAGCTATTTAATCATAAATCTTTGTAATTCTTCTTATAATTTTGATCAAACTTGAAATTCTTTGACTCGTCAAAAAAGTTGAAATGACTTGTAATTTGGAACAAAAGGGGATTTAAACTGTTTATTTTGTTAACATGCAAGTCATATGTATAGAATTGTATTGAAAATACTTGCAGAATCTCAGAAGAATTTTAAGAATATCCTAGAAGAAATTATTGATCAAAATGCATGCATCGAAGACTGAAACTTAAATATATTTGTTTGACCAGATGTAGGGCAAAAGAGCAGAATATGTAATGGTGTGCAACTGTCCTTCCAATTAGCTTTGCAGTTTGAACGGCCATGATAAGCCTCTTCTGTTGGAAGGCTTTCCTTGGACCATGATATGGCTCGTCATCTTATATGAGTCTTCTTTTCCGGACAGCAGGGGTAAGAGCAGCAAGGCAACGACACAACTAAAAAGGATAGTAAATTTAGGTACAAAATACGGGGACAGAATCTGTTGAAAATACTTTTTTTTGGGGGGAAATTAACAACAGACAAGAGGGACATATTACAGACAAGGGCAAATTTTCCTGTATAGCATCAGGTTTCCATATGACTGTGTGTCGGTGTTTTGAGTTGCCACCGGCTACTAAATTTCTAATATTGCGCGTCTGGCCCGTATGGTGTGCTAAGAGAACACGAGGTTTATACTGGTGTCCCTACGTCCAGTTCGTTGCTGCTGCTCGTATTACTAGCACTGAAAGTTCATAGTAGGGGTTACAAACAGTCGAGAGAGGGACATGTCCTAAGTCTCTGGTGAGAGGAGCGAACGGATAGCAAGGGCTCTGTCGCTTCTCGGCTGCGTGCTTGTGTGTTCTAATCGGTTCGGGGTTCGAGTTCGAATCGGTGTGATGTGTTGCGATACCTCTTTCTCTATACGATGCTCTGCTTTTCCTTTTATAGGCTAAGGAAAAGCACGGGTTACAGTCGATGGAAAAAAGAGGAAAATGAGAAGGAGAAGAAGTCCTACAGGATCGCCGGGTCCTTCTTTTCCTTCACGCGGGTCTCGCTGACCCTGTAGACTTCAACAGGAACAGCTCCATGTCGCGGCCCTATCCATCAGTGGCGCCATGGGCAGGCGTCGTCTCCCGGTCGTGGCGCTCCACTCCGTCCTGGTGGACGTCGTGGTGAACTGACGCGCCTGTCAGTGCCCGTACGAGGGTTGGGCAGAACAGCACCGGTACGCCCGACGTTGTTCCTGATGTGAATCCCCAGGTATGGCCTGTCACGGCCACGGGTTATATCGGGGCGTGTCGGTCACCTCCCTGGTGTCAGAGCTTTGACCTAGACCCATTCGCTTGGACGTGGAGTGGTTGGCGGTGGTATGGGTCTCCGTCGGGCGAGACGGATCCCCCGACCTCGGGGTCGATCGAGGCGGAGTCTCCCCCAGAGGCCGGGCGAGGCGGAGCGCAAACCCAAGGGTCGGGCGAGGCGGAGCCAGCCCTCAGAGGCTGGGCGAGGCGGAGCGCAAAACCAAGGGTCGGGCGAGGCGGAGCCAGCCCTCAAAGGTCGAGCGAGGTGGAGCCAGCCCTTAGAGGCCGGGCAAGGCGGAGCCCGTGGCCTCGGTGTCAGGCGAGGCGGAGCCCGCCCCCAGAGGCCGGGTGAAGCGGAGCCCGCCCTCATAGGCCGGACGAGGCAGAGCTTGCGCACCTGGGGGTCGGTTGGAGCTGTAGTCACACTCTTGACTGCTCGGATGAATCAATGGTGATGTCTATTAGCTCCTTCTCTTCGGGTACCCTAGTATTGGTCCCCGACAATAGCCCCCGAGCCTACGGAGGAGTAGAATACTTTTATGGAGGCTTTTTCGAGCAGGAGGACTCTGAAGGCCTTGGCCTTCTTTTGTCGCCCACGACGTGATTTGGGATGGTGATTCCCTTTCGTCGAGATCGGACTCCTCGGGTGTATAGCCGTGAGGTTTGGTGGGTCGGAAAAGGTCCTTCCCTGATTTTGACCCCTTTGGGGGTCTATCGTTCTACAACCATGCGTTCGGTCTCCTTGCGAGCTCAACTTTCCTCGAGCCCCCACGCATAGCCGGGGTCCAGTCGAGGGTCGGCTCATCTTTGTGATCGTCACCCTGTCCATGGTTTTCGCAACCGGTGGGGCTGAGCCGTGCCGTGATTTCCTCTGTGGTAGAGCCACGGTGCTCAGTGAGTTGTCAGCTGGCTAGTCCAAGTAGGGCCCCGGCAACCCGTTCGCGGGGATCCGGCTTGGGTCAATTGGTGACCGACTCCAAACCCTTGGCGGTTAATCCATATAGTTCTCGGGTCTGTTCGACCAGTCCCGAGGGCCTTCTGCCTTTCTTTTTGAGGAAAAAACCATGGATCGTATCCGGTCGAGACTCGAACGTGGGCCGAGATGCCTGCGGCGCTCATGCGCCTGGGTACCGACCGCTAGCGGGCCTATCCTTTTCCACCTCTTACCCTAAAGGTGCCTGGAGCAGTTTGTCAAACCTGTTGATGGGCCGACCTATGAACTCCTAGGCCCAGTCGGGTTGTAGAGGCGCTTTTAGATCCGTATTCCTCTTACTCGTGATGAGTCGTGGCCCATTCAGAGAGGCGAAACGTCCGGCGAGTTTTCTAAGGGAACGGATAGAGATGGTGTGCGCGCGTCCCGTGTCGAGACGTGGTGGCAGATCATGGTAGGTGCGGAGATCTAGGTGGGCGGTTGGTTTCCTCGCACCCGTCGCTCCTATAAAACCAAAGGGTTCGCCCCCCGGGTTCCATACCTTGCATCCTTGCCTCCATAGCCACGACCACCGCCGCCAATCGCTTAGGTTTCCTGCCTTCACATCCCCATCGCCGTCGAGCCCGCATCCATCCACCCCTACCTCCAATGGATCCGTGGTGCCGCTCCGACATCACCTTCCAGCGCATGGAAGGCCTCATCTGTCGCGGTCTTCTCTGCGCGCGGACCTCGATCGAGGAGTGGCTGCTGCCCTGCGAGGAGGATCTGCCGTCGCCGCCCGACGGCTATGTGGTGTCGTTCGCCCACTTCCATGAGTGTGGGTTCACGACCCCCACCCACAAATTTCTTCGGGGGCTGCTGCATTATTACAAGATCGAGCTGCAGCATCTCAACCCCAACGGGACCCAGCACATGGCGGCGTTCATCGCCCTGTGCGAGGGGTTCCTAAGGATCAGCCACCACTTCGATCTGTGGAGGTACTTCTTCGCTGTCACCCTCCAGAAGAAGAGGGAGAAGAGCAGCAGGCAGGAGCAGCATATGCCGATGGGGTGCGCCGACATCCAGCTCCAGAACAATCGGGTCGGCGAGTACCCGCCCATGCGGCTCTCGATGTCCAACAAGGGGTGGCACTCGCAGTGGTTCTACCTCAAGAACGACGCCACCGCCCCTCTGCCGGAGTTCACCGAGCGCCTGATTGAAGAGGCCCCGGAGTCATGGAGGAAGTGGGCGTCCCGGAGAAGGACAAGAAGAAGATCCGGGACCACATCGCCGCCATCCACATCCTCAAGGAGAACGGCCTAAAGGAGTCGGGCGTCATCGGGGCGTACCACACAAGGAGGGTGGCGCCATTGATGACGCGTGCGCTCCCACTATACACGATGGTGCCCGAGGCATCGTTCGACGAAACGGTGCTCGCCGAGGGGGTGCTCCCCAACTCTGAGATCACGCAACGCATCAAGGAGGCCATTGAGCCCTCACGGGACGATGCGGGTGCCCCGCTTGATTTCGTCTACCTGGTGCTGGGACATCCTCCGATGCGGCCAAAACCAGGCCACGTCATCTTCGTAAGTTTACCCTTCTCATGCCTTCTCTTCAATAGATTTCCCAACCTCTTGGTACTAACTTTGAGAGGGGCAGTACCAGCCGAGGGACCTCATCTTCACGGATCACCCGGTGCCGTTGCCGAGGGATTCGTCCGTGAGGGCGGCGAATCACGCCAAGGGCGAGCGGCTGAGAAAGGTGAAGGAGGATAAGAGGAGGAAGAGGCAGCGGAAGCTGCAGGCACGGGAACAAGGGGAGGACACCGACAGCGACGATGATGATGCCGATGACGATGATGAGGTAGCCGACGATGTCGAGTGGGACATCCTAGAGAACGAGGATGCGTTGACAGGTATTGGTTCATGCTTGCAGGAGTCAGGACCCTTCCTGTTCCATGGAGGGGAGGGTACGTCCGGGAAGCCGACGGAGGCGGGACATACCGTCGGCCTCCCCCAGGAGTCAATGGAGGTGGGTGGCTCTGCTGCCGCGCCTGAGACATCGGCAGAGGTGGGCGGCTCTGCCGTCGTG